TTTTCTGAAGTGAATTTTCAGATTGTTTGATGCTAGTGACATGTTCATAACTTATTGTGGTCAAAAGATATGAGTGTTTACACATTTTTGTGTTGATCAATTGGTTTTGAGAAAAATGTATTTATCTTTCTAACGCTGTGAGATACTGCCTCGTAATAAACACCAATCAATCTGTAAATTTTTGCACTCTTTGAAAATAACCTCCAAATATCAGTTAGAGGTCAAATGACGCAATGACCTTGAATGACATTGACCTTGAAATATCACAATTGAGTATCGCCCAAATTTCCATAAACAAAATATCTAGCCTTAAGGTTCTTCAGGAGCAAAGATATAGCCAATTTACAATTGTAAAATTAGCTGAAATGCCCTGTATGATCTGAGCTTTAAATGAGTTCAATTGGTGAAACAAAAATTTTATGCAATCGTAAATTCAGTTGATTTAAAGATCGAATCGATTTTAGTTTTGATGTCGGTTGGTGCATACGAGCCTAAATCAACATGAATATTTCACCAGTTTGATTAACAATCTTTCGTTTCACGGCTAAGCACATAGAGATACATTTGTAATCATCAATAGAATGACAAGTAACACCAATATAAGAACGAGAATTAAACTCATCAATTCAATCATTTGTTCTATTGGTTATGATGGTGAATTCAATTAATTTAGTTGCAAACAAATAAAAAAAACACACGGTCAATATTCAGACCGATCAAACACGAAGTCAAAATAATCAATATGAATGAGTTTATGCAAAAATGTTAAAGATGATGAAGAAGCAAATGACAGATTCAACTTCATGTAAATTCACACCAATAAGGACAATAAAAAAAGATAAAAAACTAGTTAATGTTCAAACACACTGAACATACGACAAATTAACACCATACATGTTAAGGTGATATTTTAGGTATATAAACTTAGGCAGGTGCGACAGCGCTTTTGCGTCCTCGGTGAGTAAGTAGATGTTGATGGTTAAGATAGACAAGTGGAAGAAAATCAAGAAAAGTGAGTTGCTTCAGGGATTTGTGTTTGTTTCTAGCAAAAGGTAGAAAATAGCTCAAGTCGGGTAAAATGGTCAATTTGAAGTGTAAGAAGCTTCTGGTTAAGACAGAACAGAATTTCATAGTTAGACTTCATGTTCACAGATGTCATTGTATGCTCAAAAACATCTCGTTTTTGTTCTCAAAGATGCAATTGAAAAGATTTAGTTACTTCAAACATTATTACATTATGATTGTTAAGAGTTAAAGTACAAAAAAGATGATAGCGGACAGTAAGGAAGACCTAATCTCTAAAAACAATGGTCAGAATCTAAATTCGTTTCACTCATCAGAGAGGTGCTAAGTGCATCTAACGTAAAATTATGTAGAAAATAAACTTGGATGATCTCATCGTAGATGCTAGCTCTCGAACATTTTGTACACAGAACAGAAATTTGTTATTAATGGTAAAAGCCGATAAACTTAGGCAAAGGCTGATAATAGATCTTATCAAAGTGTCTCACGAATATGACCCTAAATGATACAGTCTTTCACAGACCCATTTAAATCAAAGTTGAAATAAACCAGAGGGAGCCTCATGTAATGCTGAACAGAGAAGCGCAATTTCATTAAAAATATTGAAAAGTAACAGCAAAATGTAGTTCAAGTTAACTTTATTCATTCCATCAGAATCTTCAGCTCAGATTATTTTCCAACAGGCCTCTGATGTCCCCAATGATAGGCATGTGTAAAGATAAAAGGTGTCACCATTAGACAATAAAATGTAATCTCGTTATATTCATTCTAATCTTCCTCTACGCTGTGCTTGTCTCTCCTTTTTTTGTACAACTATAAGCATAAACTAGCTGCTGTTATTACCTTCATTCAGTACATCACATCATCATCATCAACTTTATCCAAAAACAGCACAAAAAGCAACATTATTTGAATCAAGTTAGTAAATCTTTGGCTATGATCAAGCTGTGAGACTAAACAAAATCTCGGATACATTTTTCTTAGCTTGAAGCTTCCATTTAGTTAATCAACTTTATCAACTCAATTTGAATTTAAAACAATCGCCAATTTACAACTCTTTCAACCTCAATCATTCCATCTTTACCTTTGTCCATCTTGTTTCATCAAATTAAACTGATTATAATATTATCATCATTTCATTTGCAATATGACTTTATTCTGATTGTTTAATAGTCCATTGGATTACATCAATTTATACACTGTTTCAATGTGTTGGTGAATTGAAATAAACATTGCTGTTGTTTTCATTGACGATAAGTTTATGTCGGAATCAATTGGAAACATAATTAAATCTTGTTTTTGATTATCAATTTCATTAGCAATTCACTTTGATAGAATCCATTCTAAATAATTGAACATTTAAACTGATTGAAAGACATCAATGACATCAAATCCAATGGTTGTAAATGGATAATTTTTGGTGGATTATACCAGTTTTCATGGTAAGTGATTACACTTTTCACCAATGAATCTTTCATTTGTTCACCCAAAACACAGAGAAAAATTGAATTGAACCATTTTGAACAGACAATCTTTCAAATGACATGTTTCGTTAACGATTTTACTTTCTTTTTCACTCTTGAGAAATCATTCATGAAACTTCGGAAATCCTTTCTATTTATCTCTTTAATTTTCTTATTTTATTGGTCATCATCAATTTATGCTGTTATTTCATTAATCAATTTAATGCTGGTCAACAGTAACTATAACAAGAAGAGAAACGGAAAGGCTATCAATAGTTTTATCAAAGGGATTAAAGTTATTGAAGTAAACAAAAATATGGACTCTCTTCATCATCTCATGTTACCTTGTCAACAGGTTAACAACTAATCAATCCTAAAGTCTCATGATATTTAATTACAATTAGATAAGTGAACAGATGAAGTGAAAAATTGCAAGATTTTGAAAGATCGCCATTGAAAGTGGAAACGTATGTCAGTCTCGAATTGCCACAAATTGAGATCGAAATGAGCGTTTCATTCAAGTAAAGTTCTAATGGTTACAAAACTAGTTCATAAGATGAAAAAATGATTCGAATGACTTGATTGAGATTATTTAAAAATCACATTTCAAGAAGTTCCAAACTTGAATTGACTTCAAGTTGACAATACCGAGTTCATAGCGAAGGAGTTGAGTTGAGTGTTGATATTTTGTGGCATAAAAATGAGTCAATTAGTGCTATTGAAAATTTCGATGAAAGCTTGAGATTTTTATGAAGCTCATTTTCCTAATGCCACTTTTCATGGTCAATCAGAAAATTCACTTATTTTGGGAAATAAAATTTTCTTTTTCTGTACAACAGATCACTTCGATTTTCAATTAAACTTAGAGCTTCGAGTGACAATAAGAGTGAAAGAGCAGAAACTTATTTTTAGTCGATGAAGAAGGTTGGTAAACACTCGAACACTTTATTCAATTTATCTACAGCTCTCTTGATTCGGTCTTTAAACTCTGAACACCGGGATCGTGAGAATGATATCAGATTCCATTCACTCATCAATTATTAGATAATACTCTGAGCTACAGAATATATAGAAATATTAGATCAATCAAGATCATATATGAAAAGTTATAGCATTGTATTACTTATGTTGTCAGATTGTATCAGATCTTGATATCTTAATCATATGTGGAAAAAATTCGTTTACGATTCAGTCAAAAATCAACTACTGCTAAGTCAAAAACTAGAGTATTGGTTATGGTTGACTTTACAGAAAAGTTTTTTTTCATAAAATAAACGTTCATTTTCAAACTTGAACAGAAACGTTTTTTCCTTCAAATGTTTAAAAATGCGTTCCTAAGAATTTTTGAAAGAAAAAGTTTTGTTAGAACAAATTGTACTCGACAATAAAAATGAACTTTTGATGAGTTGCACTTTTTTTCATGACAAAAAAGTTCAATTTCGAGTTCAATGGATTCTAGTTAGAGTTGCAACAATTTTCGACTTACAAAGTCAAATGAAATGCTGATAGACTTTTGCAGAAAAAAAGTTTACAAACAAGAAACTCATTCGTTTGGAACAATTTTTCTCTCCATAAAGAACAGTTTGTTTCTTAAAAACATTTCGAGTCGAAACATTTCCCTCATAAACAATCTAATGCGTCGAGTCATTAAAAGTGTCGAAATTTTCTTTTGAAACAATTTCCTTGAAAAATGTTTTCCATTAGTTTCGATGGTTGATAAACGATTATCATGAAAATTGCAACATTTCATGTTGACAATGGACTGAAGAGTTTCACACTTTTACATCGATAAATATAGAAATGAAATACTTTAAGTTGATGATGGTTACAAAAAGGATTGGGAAAAGTGTCGAGTCAAGAGAAAAGTATTGAACGCAAATCTCTTGAATGGTTACATTTTGGATGAAAATCCGTTTCGACGTGACTGAGTAAAGAAGAAAAAGAAAAAGAAAACGAAAAAAAGATTCAAAATGTATTATTTTCTCAACCATTTTCACCAAGTGAATCAACTCTATTTATCTCTGTCCTTTCCAAGTTACGAACATGAAATGAAAACAAAACTCATCAAGTAGCAATTCAAATGTTGTCACAGGTATGAACACATTACCATGCAAACAGTCTACCAACAGTTGGCAACATTTCACACTTCTTTTTCCTTTACATTTTTCTCTATTCATCTCATGAAAACTTGCCATCTTACAGGGAGTGAAGAGTGGTCGATAAGTGTCCCTCAACTGTTCAACATCAACATTCATCATGAGCCATTTGCACAATCCTGACAATTAAGTACAAAAGTTTAAAAACGAGTTAAACTAAGTGAAAAAAACGAGTAAAAATTTTGTTCGTTTCAACACAAGTCATTTGATATCCAAAAATGGATATTTTTTTCTTCGTTCAATCTTTTTCTTTGCTTTTTCTTGTCGCCCTGCATTCGTCAACCTTCGTCAAGTCAAATGTCACTGAATTTTACTCTCAATTCCATCAATCAAATTTAATCGAGTGTCATCATGTACCTACCAGGGTTTACCATGTGAACCAGGAAAATGATTCAACATTTAGATTAGTTTTTGAAACGCTCTATTCTTTACTCTCTTTTTTGCTCTGTTTATCCATTCTGACGATTCTCAAGAGTAAATAATATTTAATCAAAATTTTCTTTTCACCTCATTTTCCTTTTGCAGTTTCATGATACTCAGAAAATTTGTAACTTACCTTTCAATTTTGGATCTGCTATTTACTTTGCCAAAATGTAAAATAATGTAAACCAATAAAAGTGGGTAAAGAAAAAGTCGCTTTTTTCCTCTTTTCTCTTCATCAACTTTTCTTCTTCTTCTTCTTTTGCCTACTCATCAAATCAATATTCAACCCATCATTTTCAACTCATCATGTTGGTTTATTGATAAACTTGAACAACAATATTCAACAGTTGAATGCTTTGTTTACAGTGTTCTAACACATGAAAAGTTTGCTCAAACTGAAATGTTATTAAATTTACAGGGAAGGAAATGCATAGGAAAAAATTCACACTTTTCTTTACATGATAATAATTGTGATAACAGAATATTGAAGTAGAATAAAAAGGAAGAGAGAAAAAATTTGATATTGGAAAAATGTTTTTCTTTTTTTCCAATTTTATCGATAAACTTTTTCCAACTCGCTATTGGAATAATTGATAAGATGGAAAAGTTGATATTAAAAGAGTGAATAAATTGTTTGATAAGCCTTTTTTGATGCCTTTTTTATTGGCTTATCGAAAAGTTTTGAATGAAGAAGAAAAATTGTCAGCAAAAGTCGAACATTTGATTATTTTGATCACTTTTCTCTTGCTTCGATTGATGCACTTTTCTCCATTTCCACTGATAAACTAATCGTAAATCCCTTTGAATAACCTTTTTACTTCCTTTTTAAGCTGTTTACTTACTTGCTTATCAACATTACTACAACCATTATCATTATGATTGTTATTATTGTCACTATTTTAAAGCTTATATCAAGATTAGTTTGTTATCTTCATCTTTAACTCCCAGTGCTTTTAAAGTTGAACATTTATTCTTGGCCTGTTTCTTTTGTTTTAGTCTTTTAGCTCAATGATAATGTTCATGTTAAGCTCTGGATTTTTTGGCCAATGCAAATTGATAGACATTTGTTGAGATGAACAAAAATTTCATTCCGTCTTTGCCTCAAAGTACATTGAAAAACATCCTTTTGTTTTAACTGAACCTTTGTAATAAGTTTACTTTTTCATCCAATTCTCCATGCTCGATCAACTTTAGAACTTTCGTACTTTGTTTTTCTGATATCTTCATATCAGTTGCTTTTGATACTTTTCAGTGCAAAATTGTAGCGATGATAATTTGAGCTATTCAAAAATGACCTTCAGAAGTCATTTGAAGGTCAAATAAACGAATGGCCTTAAATGCCTTGAAACTTTGCAAAAATTGTCTTTTAATTCTCAACAGCATATGGTTCAAATATAAGCAATTTGGCTGTTTGTGTCTTTGAATATTGGATGAAACGTGAAGTAAATGAGGTTTAATAGCAGAAGATAGATTTCGAAGATTTTTGAATGAACTTCAAATGACCTCTAAAGGTCAAGTGCCCTTTAAAGGTCGATATAATCTTCCTTCAGTTATTGTGATGTCACATGTTAAGTATCAACTTGATATCGAGTATTCATGCAATTTTACGCCTGTTTGCTGTCATAACTCACGATTGGTTTATGGTAAAGAACTCGAATTCGCGCCATCAGCTTCCTCAAATGTAAGAACAATAAATATGAACGCTCAAGGTCACTCTATAATTTGACCTAACTGACATTTAGAGGTCATTTCCTGAGAATGTGAACTTTTGCAAATTGGTTTTCTGTTGAAAACTCATAGTGCGTAAACCGATACCATTGAGCTTACATGAATATACAAGATCTGAGTTTCATAACAAAGATTCTCAGATTCTATTAGAGACATTTTTACTAGAAGTAGAACACATTGTTGATAACTCTTAACATATGATGTAAAAATTTGGTAAAAATTATCAATATAACCTTCCGTTGTTATGGTAAGTATATTTACTGCATTTAAGAGTTTTAAGTAACAAAGATCAGTCAGCAACTAAGAATTTTACTTGGCCGGACATTTTCTTATCCTGTACTCCTTTTTGCAGTCATAACTCACAAGCGGCTAGTGCTACAGACATCAGTTTTCAGCCATGAGTCTGGGCAGATTGAAGCATCATAAGTTTTGAACGCTAAAGGTCATTCAAGGCAATCTCTTTGTTTGACCTCTAACTGACATTGAAATTCGCGTGGTCTCGACTTGATTTAATGGATCATTTTTTATTGAATCTCTTAAAAATTTAGTCTTATTTATTTGCATTATTAGTTTTTAATATAAGCATTTCAAGGGAGACATTTTATAACGCAACATGATAATTTCATTTATCCCTTGAAAAAAGTTTCAAATTATTTGCTCCATTTAATCTAT